ATTTTTTGAGAAATTACGCAGTAAAAAGAGGAACATATTGTGAAATAGTCGAAAAATAGAAAGAAAGGCACAAAAATAGCACGGATGAAGGAAAATAAAAGAAAGATAAGCCTTCAAAAATTATTTAAAGAAAGCAAAAAGAGTAAGAAATTGGATTTGAATTAAAAAAAAAAAGGAAACAAAAAACATTTGAATCGATATACGTCAGCAAATAATCATTTCCGTATTTTCTCATTTGTGTGCGTATTTATGAGAGACCGTATATATGTATGCGTAATGGAGATAGTGTGTATGTATGTGCAAAGCAAATTGTATGTTAGCGCATGCATAAAGGTGCGTTTTAGTATTTCTTTTTCTCTTGATAGAATAGTCGTGCTTGTTCGAATAATAATAATAATAATAGTAAGAAGAAGAAGAAGAGGCTAGTCTGAGAAATAGTATGTGTATATTGTTTGTCTATTTTAGTAGGAACGTCTGTGAGTACATATATGGAAGAGTCTGTGTATGTGCGGTGCAAAGAAAAAATAATGGGGCGGTAATTAGACAATATATATGAGGAATTAATATATATATATATATATGTGTGTGTGTGTGTGTGTGTGTGTGTGTGAGCGTAATGTATCATTTATTTCTAATTTTTAGATATAAATACATATATATATAATAGTTCTTCTCTATGACTGTCTATTCCTAAATGCAATGTCTGCTCTTCTTTGTCTCTCTTTCCATATATATATATGTGTGTGCGTGTGTGTGTGTACGTGAGCGTGGGCGTGTGCGTGTGTGTGTACGTGAGCGTGGAAATGTGCGTGTGTGTGTGTGTGTGTGTGCATATGTGTGTTTGTGTCTGCGTGTGTTTGTGTCTGTGTGTGTGCACGTGTTACAGAGTGATATACGTAGGAATGAGTGTATGGAAAACCTGAGAAACACATACTCTCTCTTGAGAAAAAAACGCAAGGGAGCATGCACGTGAGTACGTCCGTGTTTACACTTGTATACTTGTATAGACACACACAAAACGCATACACACACAAATATATAGTCATACTCATATAGTATATGTGGTGTATGTGCATATGCTTAAAAAAGCTTAATGCTGCAGATAGGTGACATATATAAATATATATATATATCAAAAGAGAGATACGAAGAAAGAGTCAGAAAAAGAGAAGCTAGATATGCGCTAAAAGAAAAATAAGTCCTGAAAACTGGAAGAATTACATTGGTTGTCTTTACAACTTTTCCTGGTTTCTCAGATGCGAGCGGCGATAGCAAGAGAAAACCCGAGGAGGGGCCATGTTTTTAAATTTCGTTCCACTTTTTTATTTCTTTTGTCTTTTCTTTTTCATTTTTTTTTTTTTATTATTGGAAAGGACAAGTAATGTATTTAGAGGTAAAGAATAGCGACCAACATGCTGCGCGCTGGATGAAGGAAAGGCAAATGGCGGGAAATAGCAACCAAAAACGGAAACTTGGGTTTGCCGATACGTTGACGCGGATTCCGTTGGAGCGAAGAGACGCGAGACGGGGAAGTGACAACAAACGCAAGAAAGAACGTAGCAAGAAAAAAGAGAGATTGAAAAAGTAGGGAACAGTCATGCAAATGAAGCGAAAGGGCGGAAAATAAGGAAAGAAAACTATAAAAAAAAACACAAGAAAAAAATGCTAGGTGCAGTAGGAAGAGAGAAAGAGTGAAGGGAAGAGAGAGAAAGAGTGAAGGGAAGAGAAAGAAAGAGTGAAGGGAAGAGAGAGAAAGAGTGAAGCGAAGAGAGAGAAATCACAGAAGGTGAGAAGAAGTAAATGTGAAAGAAAACAGAGAATTGTTCTGGATTTGACGGGGCAACGGGAAATAAATGGAGTATAATGACAGAGAAATGACAGAGAAATGACAGAGTAGGCCAGATAACTGAAGAAAGAAAGAAAGAAAGAAAGAAAGAAAGAAGAATCGGGAAAAGTGGTCTAAGAAAGAAAGAAAGAAAGAAAGAAAGAAAGAAAGAAAGAAAGAAAGAAAGAAACTAAAAGAGAAGGCGAGAGAAAAAAGAAACTGAAGGTGAGAAGTAATAACGGAAGAAAGTGAGACGAGTAAGAAATATAATGAATTAAGTGCGAGTGGTAGAAAAGATAAGAGAGAAAGGAAGAAAGAGAAAAAAGAAAGAAAGCGAGCGGAAAGAGAAAAACTGTGAATGGTCAAAGGAAGTGAATAGAAACGAGTGTATGAAGCGGATAAAATGGAAAAAATTACAAAGAAGAATAATTAGGATAAAAGAAAAACAAACCTGGACACATACAAAATGAAAGAAATAATAAAACTATTATACATTGATTTATTCGGTAAAAATATTTGCCATCATTGGTGACAATGGTGATCCTATGAACATTCCCTCTTCCTGTCGATATATATTACAGAAGCTGGAAGGTCATTCGCTCACAAAATGTTAATAGTTCTATTAGGTTGTCTATCTAGATTATTATACGGTTACCAGATGCTTGGTTTTATTCCCGTTTATTACAAAAGCAGTAACGGAGTTTCATCTGTGAAAACTATAATGAACAGGCACAAAATTCTAAAGTCACTGTCGGGAGGAAATTAATGGGAGATAACTGTTTCAAACAGGTGAATATATAACAACGCTTTGATTCAGAAATTCAGATTGAAAAATTAGTTACGAATGGAAAATGAATATGACAAAAAGATAAAAAATTTAAAGAAGCGAAAATGAATGGGCATAAAAGAAAGGACCAAGGAAAAAAGGAATCAGTGGAAAAACGAAAATAGAGGGGAAAATTAGAAAAAGGTAACGACGAAGTAATCGGAAGAATTGAGAAGAAGAAGTAAAAGAAAAAAAGAAAGAAATGATAAGTGGAAAGGAGAAAGGAAAATTATAAAAGAAGAAGAAGAAGAAGAAATGATAAAGAGGAAAAAAGGGGAGGAGGAAAGAGGAGAAATGATAAAAGTTCCGAAGAAATTAAGATGATAAAATAAAAAAAGAAGTAGAAAAAAAAGGAAGAAAAAAATTATAAGTAAAAAGAAGAAAAATAAGAAACAAGAAAAATAAGAAAAAGGAATATGACCAAATGATAAGAAGTCAGAAGAAAAAAAATAAAGAAAAGACAAATAAAATTAAATAAAATTACAATCGTTAAAGATGATTTACTTCCCTTGGGTGTCTTGCTGAAAATGCTGTTTATACAGACATTTTAGAGAGGTAAGAAGCCCTCTATGTCAACTCAACATTTCTCTGTTCATAGAAGCGGTATTTATCTTCTTCTTTGTGTACAGTGTCCCCTCAGTAGGTAGTCAATCATGGTTCTCCGTAATTTCCTGTCTTCTGTAGCTCTTAATAAATTTTCTCTTTTTGTTATTTCTCCTAAACCCTGTCCCGCCATCCACTTACTGAAGCTCACTAAGTATTTTATGTGTTGTTTTCTTCTGACCCTCTTGCCTTCAATCCGCCCTGTGAATATCAAATTTTCTAAGCCCTCTTTCTTCATTATGGGCCCTAGAAATTTCAACTGCCTCTTTCTGATGTTAAGTATAAATTTCCTTTTTGTTTTCAATTTTTCTAAGATTTCGTCGGTGCTTATATATTCACTCCATGTTATTCATCTAGTATACTAAAATATCAATAATAATTATTACTTTTTTATATTAAAGGTAGAAATTCTGTAGCATTTTTCCTTCATTATTGTTTATGGTCAACTTTAATTTTAGCTATTGTTATTTCTTTTCTAACTTCTATTCCTCTTCATATAATAATAATAATAATAATAATAATAATAATCACAAACATACCAAGGTAGTGGCATATGTGCACTGGAAGATATGCAAGAAGCACGAAATCGAAACCACTGAGAGGTGGTATGAGCACCAACCAGACACAGTTACACAGAATAACGATGTAACTATCCTCTGGGACATGTCAATTCAAACTGACATAGAAATAAAAGCCAACAGAAAATGATATTATAAAAGATAAAAACTTCAGGAAGTGTGTGCTTATTGACATAACAGTACCACCTGAAAGAAATTAAAATTATCGAGAAATTGTCCAAATACAAGGACCTGGAGATGTGGGGAATGAAGTCTGAGACTGTACTAATAGTAATCGGAGCTCTGGGCCTCGTGAGAAATGGAATGGACAATTTTACTAACAGTTTCCCAGGTAATATCAACATACAAGATGCCCAGAATATCGCCCTGCTAAGAACATCCTATATACCAAGAAAAGTGTTGTCAGTTAAATGACAATTCTCTATAGAGCCTAAAGACAATAGTTTGGACCCGACTCTACAGGGTACAAAGCAGGAAATATAACATACACAAATAATAATAAGATGAAGAAGAATAAGAAGAACGAAGGATAAACCTGAGCAAAAATGGAAAAATATAACTAAGAATAATGTTAGGTAACCCTTAACAAAATACCAAAATAGAAATCCCCAGGAAATCCTCAGGCTACCCAACTTCTGGTCGTATATTTTTGTTGTTTATAACCAGTTATACAGCAGTTATTTTTTAATATTTCATGTGCATGGTAACCTAATTTGCCTAATGGCTGGATGATTCCTGGAATTGTAGATCTTAAACTGAGGGTGATATTTTTATTGTGGTTTACTAATTCATAAGTAAGGGACACTGAGTTGGGATCGAACTCACTATTAATAATTTACATCTTACTCAATCTTCATGCTGTGATGGGGTTTGCATATACCAGCAGCCCACAGAGCTATATGGCAGGATTATTACTCCTAGCAGTTTTAACCAAGCTGGACTGGTAGAAGTGCATGGATCAAATGAAATGCGAATCACAAGAAGCCATGGGGTGCAGTTTGGTGCTTCTGCTGCATTGGCGGAAAAGTCAGTTTGCTAGAAATGCCAATAATTTCTAAGATCCCCAAGTTTCCAAAGCGAATTATTGATAAAGCTATCGAATAGGCAAACATAGTCGGCTTTGTCAACGAAATATTTATGTTTTGTGACGTTATCGATACTGAGACGCTCATGGTGGTTTGGGCTTCGCTCTTTGTTGTTTGGGCTTCTCTCTTCGCGGTTTAGGCTTAGCTCTTTGCGGTTTGGGCTTCTCTCTTCGCGGTTTAGGCTTAGCTCTTTGCGGTTTGGGCTTCTCTCTTCGCGGTTTAGGCTTAGCTCTTTGCGGTTTGGGCTTCTCTCTTCGTGGTTTAGGGTTAGCTCTTCGCTGTTTGGGCTTCTCTCTTCGCGGTTTAGGCTTAGCTCTTTGCGGTTTCGGATTCTCTCTTCGCGGTTTAGGCTTAGCTCTTTGCGGTTTCGACTTTCCCTCTTCGCGGTTAAGGCTTAGCTCTTTGCGGTTTCGGCTTCTCTCTTCGCGGTTTAGGCTTAGCTCTTTGCGGGTTGGGCTTTTCTCTTCGCGGTTTAGGCTTAGTTCTTTGCAGTTTCGGCTTCTCTCTTCGCAGTTTAGGCTTAGCTCTTCGAGGTTTCGGCTTCTCTCTTCGCGGTTTAGGCTTAGCTCTTCGCGTTTTGGGCTTATTCCTTCACGGTTTGGCCTTCCCTTTTCGCACCGTTCAATGTAATACTAGAGAAGTAAAGGCTACAATATTAGCGATGCACCTGTATGGAAACCGTCTCATGGACATAACAGTATCGGACAAGCTTCGAAAATATAAAGTGACCAATTCAGCTTAGATGCCGGATGCAATATGGACAGACTACCAACTGCTAAGGATGACCGAAAATGTTGGTGTCATGATGTCATGCCAAATCCAAGCAAGCTCAATACCATTATGATGACAGCTTGGGACCCCAGCTTTAGTTGTTAGAACAATAATTTAGCTGATCAGGTAAAATTAAGGAATTGTGGAAAAGAGAAAGAGGAAACAATACCAATTTAGATATTTTGTAAACAGAATAACTTATCGTATATTACTGGAATCTAAGACGCACATCTATTTTCAAGATGAATATTAAAACCTCTGATGAGACAATAAATCCGTGAATTTGTTGTACAAGACGCGATATTCTTAGCTCTTCTAGATGTTCCTACTTACGAGGTTAGGCTAAAAAGTTCATAGGCTATGAAGGAGTGATGCTGTTGCTGTGAAATCTTGCATGTATTTATTTCAACACTTCTTATTAATAACTGTCTTGTTTCTTTCCAAATAATCTGAAACCTGACTGTCCAAAGAAGACTTTTCATCCTGTTCGTAAAAAAAAAAATAACATAAACAGAAGATATGACATCATCATCACTGCGATACTAATTCCCGACCAAGTATGTTTTATGTTGGCTCTAGAGAATGAATTAAGACAAACCTATAACACTAACATGTACCAAACAGCGAGCAGAGACACTGATCCAAATCGTTTCACACTATGGTGATCGTCAGGAGAGATGATCTTAGAGTCACGATCTTGATCTGAGTCCTTGAGCGCTGTTTGTATATATAAATGTTTTCATTTTTATAAATTTATTATTATTATTATTATTATTATTATTATTATTATTATTATTATTATTATTATAACACTTGGAGAAGAACGCTATTTAATAAAATAAAAAGAAAGACACGGTATTTAACAATGTTTCTATATTTGCATGTTTTATAAAAACTGGATTCAAGTATAGAAAATATAAAAATAAACAAACGATGCAAATCTTTGTACAACTGTCACTTGTCTTGAGAAAAATGGCTGTATGACAATGAACAGGACAAAACGAATGAAACGTGGCCATCGTGTATGGAATAGAACTGAAGCGTGCTCATATTGAAAGTGACACAAATATACGAATCCTAATATATCAATTAGAACAGTCAATTTGATAAGTGCATCCCAGGCACATGCATCGCAGCCAAATATGCGTGATGTGCCGACAGGAATTTTGATAAAAGCAGAGCATGACCGGATAGGTGGGGCCCAGTTATAATTACGTTCAGGTCAGGAGGCAACTCAGTACACCCGGACTCTATCTGATTGAGGAAGTCTCCAACTAACTAAATATTACTTCTCAGTCCCCTTGGCTATCGCATCCTTCAGACTGTTTTATTCCCTCTGTATATAATTCGGCCGTATTCATGGGGGAGGTTAAATAATTTTTCTTCTATTTTCTCTCTTCGTAATCTGAGTTATAATGACATCACTAGTAAAGAAGAATCTGTAATCTGGCCACCAAAAAAAAAAAACGTCGCCATGTAATGCGAAGTTTCTGGAGTTTTCTAGGGGTTGGGTCCATCTCCCCTCTAAGCGATATGAGCCACGTAGTAGTAGCTGATACTGTATCGATAACAGACTGCCGCCCTGAGTAAGACGATAAACTACACCCAACAGCAAGGCCTCTGATCAGGAGGTTTTGAGGAGCGTGGAACCACCTCTTAATTGCTGGTGTTCCCAGATCCACCCTGACCCGGGGTGGTAGCACCTGTTATGTTCCCAGCTATAGGCAAATAGTTAACCCCAAAACTGGGGTCAAAATATATGAAAGTGTAAAAATAGGTTTTAATACCAGAAATACTTTGTAAAAAAATTATTACCAGCAATATATTTTTGAAAAGAAATATTACCAGCGATACATTATTGAATGAAAATTATTTCCAGAAATAGATTTTTGGAGAAAAAATATTACCAGAAATAGATTTTTGAAAACAATACTACCAACAATAAAAGTTTTGTCGGCATTAAATAACACAGTGAGGTTTATATGCCGTCAAACAAACCAAACTCAACCAAATAACAGACAGTATTCTTCAACAATACCAGTGACAAGGATCTTTTTAGGTTTGGTGGCGAGGCTAAGAATACTCCGACTTCATACCTTGAAGGAAGAATGCCCGGATACACGTATATACACCAGCACTATGTTTACCTTCTGACACAAATGTAAAATGAAGCTATGATTTCGTTCTTATTCAAGTTTAGATAGGACTTACATTACAGTTAAAAAGTTTGAAGCCACCCTGAGAATTAGCACGGGATGAACTTGACAGAAGAGTGAAAATAAAAAAAATGAAAAAGAGCTCTTAAAGTCATTGAAAAATAGAATGGAATCGCTTATCAAACTTATACTTTGATAAACTTTTGCAACGAATGCCCAAACTTTGTGCTGCAGTAATCAAGGTTAAAGGAGGATATTTTGACGAGAGCAAAATTTAATCATGATATGCTTTTTTCTTTTTGTCATAATAAGATTTCTAATAAAAAATCATGTCTCATTTTTTTTTTTGATCATGTATAATAATTTTCTCTTATTTCAACTATAAAACAACTACTTTTGGGGCCAATTTAAAAAATTACCAAGGGTAACCTCAAAACTACATATCAATTCGTTTGCGACATTATTAATTTCTGTTTTTTTATCAACTCTTTTCTTCAAAAAATAAACTACAATTACATTTTATTCAATTATGTATTCACCATTATTCACAATGACTTGCTAACATTTATTAAACAGCTTTTCGTTACATTTGAATAAAATTCCACCGGGTTTTTATGTGAAAAAGTGTTCAACAAACACTTGAATATGGTTTTCATTAGATAATTTTTCACAATCAAAACATTTCGCAGCGATCAAACAAGATAATTATTGGTTGGTAAAAAGGTCAGGTGAAAATGGCGAGTAGAGATAGAATTGACCGCCCGAGTTCCCATTTTTTGTCCTGTGTTATTTTTGGCATACGAGGCCTTGAATTGTCATAGAGAACACCTTTGTTCATACTGATGAGCGCAAGGGACTTTTCGACCAAACATTTATGGATATGTTGCAGATACTGGATATATCAATATGTATTACCTATTTCAGTGCGTCTATAGCTGTAATCGAAAAATAGCCGACGATCACACAAAATCATTTTTATTCCCTGGATCTCAGCTTTTCGGGGGCCGGTTGTGGATATTCTTCTGAATACACTTTCTTTTGCGCTGAATATTGTATGTAACACATTTCTTATTGCCTTTAATGATATTAGGTTGGCCAGAAAGTCCTGACTCATTTAGGAAGCAGAAAGAAAGCAACAAACTTTTATGGAGCAACACTAACATTTATTCTTCAATATAAAGTCCATCATACTCGACGATCTTCTGCCATCGATCAGCCAGTATCCAAATATGTCCCAGATACCTGTTTGTTGGATTTAAATAAAAAAAACTTGTAAACAAGCTTCCTTCACTTCATCAAAGTGTTGAGTCGCCGATCGCGGAGGAAGTGTGCCCCTGAGCCGTAGTCACTCGGAGTAGCAGCGGAACTGATTGGTAGATGTGGAAAAATCTCAACACCGTCTATCTGTTTGAACTTCTCCTTATTCAACCTGGTAGTGTGTTGTCTCTCGTTGTCTTCTGAAAGAAAGCCAAACCTCGATTAACAAAAGCAGGATACTCATTCTTTTCTTTTGTCGTAGACGCGGTCGCGGTGCTGGCAAAACAGTTGAGCGCTGATGGCGCGGATCTTGTGGAACAAGCTCGAAATGCAATACTCCTTAGAAATTCTTCCAGACAGAGATCAAGATTTGTGGTTTTCTTTCCGCTTCCCATGTGAGTCGGGACTTTCTGGCCAACCTAGTATATTTTAGGAATAGACTATTTCTCTGTTGTAAATCGTTTTAAGAACGTGTGGAACTAAAATAACCAGATTGCTGAATTTAATTTGCTTTTCTAAGTGTTGGCATGTGCTACATTTTGATGGGTTCAACATCTTTGCTAATCCCAGACTACTTTTTCTATAGATTGCTTTCCATTAATGAATTTAGAGTTTCATCATCAAAGTCCGATGAACGTCCCGGTCTGGCTTCATGTTCTAAGAACGCTTCTCCAGAATTAAACTTTACAAACCAATTTCGTACTAGCACGCCAGTTTTGAACCCATGACCGTCAACACTACATATTTTTCGAGATATTTTCAGGATTTTATTCACTTGCTTGAACTCTCATAACGTTATGCGAAGTAAATCCACATTGAATCCCTCTATCAGTGTGGTTGCTAAATTTACGTTTTTATCCACTGTTTACGCTGGCAATACCGTGAAAAAAAATATGTTAGTGTACTCCAAATTTATTAATTAGTAATTACGATGATACATTCATCATGACAATTAGTTCCAAAAAAAGTAAATTGTCAATTTGATATTAATTCATTGTGATTCTACTCCTATAATTTATATTTGATGTTAAGTAAATCAACACAGATTATTATATCATAAATTAATTAACCCGGTCATTGCAATAGTACAAGTTACAATGATCATTACTGATAAGTAAATACAATCAACTTTGCTCGTAATTCGAACTCAGTTCGCTAAATGCGTTTTCCCTGTCAATAACCAGTAAGCCAACTCGCATTTCAGTAATCATCGTATCGTGTTTTTGAATTACTGCGATGACCTTTTTTTTTTCTTTTTTTCATTGGGTTCGCGTGTGTTAGAATCGCTTTCCTTGCCACTTGACTTCCCTTCTCCAACTCCCAAATAAAAAAAGCTCTTTTTTCAGATGTAAACAGGATAAGATATAAAACAGTTACTGTCCCCGCTAGTTTGATACTGAGATTGAAAGAGTAAAATATTTAAGTGGAATTCATACAAAAGGCTCGAGTTTTTGACAGATTTTTACTTGAAGAGGGTCGCTCGAACTTACATTCATTAAGTTCGTCATTTGTTGAACAAGATTCAAAAGCAAAGAGAGAGAAAAAAAACGGAAGGAAGAAGGATTGGAAACGTGAAGAGAAAACGAACGGAGCTGAATTCCCAGCACTTTTGCCCTAGCCCGAGCTACAATATGCCTTTCTCGTTTTTGTTGCCAGCACTTCCGGTCGATACGTGCTTGATGAACAGACGACGGTGCAGCATGAATGCAGTTAATTTGCTTGATCTGACAACTTCCGCTTTGGACTCAAAGCGCCATTTTGTTTACTAATTGCTGATTTGTGCCGCCATTTTTTTCATTTCTTTTTTTTTTGTTATCTTTTCCATTTCGTGATTCTCTTACAATATTTCTTCGATCTTAATGCCTACTCAGAATAACGAAAAAGAAGGGCGATGCGCTTTTCTTTTTAGTTCTGAAAGATGACTCGGGAGCGTGTAATTAGTCAGGAAAAAGTCAAACTTGAGCGAGAAAATAGGCTCAAAAATAAAAGAAAGAAAGAAAGAAAGATACGTTTATTCTTCTTACATGGCAGTCGAAAAACAGAGAAAAAGAAATGCGCATGCGTGCCGAGTGACTACCCTCCAGCTTCCTCCCATGCCAAGTTTAGAATAAGCATAAAAGAAATGGCTCATGTCTGAAATAGAAGGAACGATGCAACGCGAAAGAAAGACTTTCTTCACACTTAGCGCCTCCGTTCGTCTTTTGTGGCAGGCCATGACTACATTAAAGCAGCTACAGCAGAAATTCCTTACCCTGACCCGATCGCCTTTACTATCTTCCCTACTGCATAATGTGCATTTTGCTGCTATTCAACTTGCGGAGGGTTGTTATTTGAAGACATGTTTTCAAAAGGATATAAATATAAGCTGTTAGTTTAAGGACAATCTACAGATCCTGCCTTCTATTCAACCTCGAAATGAATGATCCGCCGACCCATTGATAGACGTTAACATCTTGCTTGATTCTTTTCAACGAAATGGCTTTCAGAAACGAAATAGTATCTTTGCTTTTGCCTTGAACTTGAATTCTTTGCGGAGGTTGAGAGGAGAGCTAGATTATCGGAAATGAATTCATGCATCTTTTCAGATTGTCGTTCTTTCAGAGGTGAGCATGTGACGGAGTTCTTTGGTCGTCATGTTACAGTATCCTTCGACCTGAGCTGCAGTTTGTCGATGGCGGTTACTTTCAGTCTGTTCAGCAGAAAGAAAGGAAAATAACTCAAAATGCAAACCTCGAAAATATCTGAAAACTGTCAACACAGCGGTGTATGATAAAAAGCATGCACTAAGACAATGTCAGCGACAAAAACAACCGCCTACAAGTCTTTCAAACACCGTATTAAATACCGTTATGGGACGTCTATCTTTTTTTTTTTTTAATGGTTGATCAATATGTAATATCTTTTTCAAATTTAATTTTTTGTAAAAATACCACGATTCTTTCTTTCTTTCTTTCTTAACCGCAAGACAAAACTCCATTAATTCCGCTTTTCCTGCCAATCATTTACTTTCTACATAGCTGACCATGTGGTTGCACGTAGAAAACCAAAAGCCTTTTTTCTTTAAGATAATTACCTCAATACAAGGCTAAAGAGACACATATGGTAGAGAGATACTGATTGAGGCGTGTGATATGAATGTAAGGCCAGGTAAACGGAAGTGAAGATTAGAAAGATAAGGGCGATATATAGGGATTAACACTTTTTTAATCATTTCACCATAATCTAAGAAATAAAGCCACTAAGATGCAAGGGGTTACTGAGTGCCAGATAATATGAGAAAAGCTACTATCAAGGGAAGAAGACTTTAAAAAAACAAAAAACAAGATGAGATAGGAAGACAGATGATAATGATTGAAATTGCACTTAAATTTTTGAAGCTCCGAGAAGTGCTATAGAAGAAGCTGTATGCATAGAACTTACGGTTACATCTAGCAATTTCAACTGTAAAATGATGAGACCTTGCCACCAATCTAGTACAGCGGTTAAAATCATAAAGTCAAGGTACCATAGTTCATCTGAACAAGTTCATCAGACCATGAAATATTTATAGAAAAGGCACAGGGAAGCTATTTTACGGAAAGGGAATGATGCCGAGATACCAGGTCAGGACTAATAACATTGCAGATTTTCTCTGGATTTTATTAAGAATCTCTAAATTCATAGCCAGATCAACAGACCTGACGTGGCAGCAATATTCAAAGCGAAGACGAATGTCACTTGGTTTTAATTTAAGTATGTATTTTTCAAGGAAGTCTCTACACGGGAGTCTGTCCCACAAAGTTGCAGTCATTAGTGAAAAGTTATCTGAGTAGAACTTTCTTCTTAAATTTGGAATACAAAGGAAATGAGGGTGATTCTGTTGTTCATGATGACGGTCGTCTTTGAGTATAGAATCCAGAGGTTAGCAGTGAATATTTCGAAGACAGTAGGGAAGCGTTGTTCAGGCTAGCAGTGGATATTCCGGTAAAGTAGCAGAGCGTACTTCAGTAGTTCTTCCTTCTGTTCTTTCGCCTGACAAGTTGGCACTGGACATTCGGAGAGAGTAAACAAATATGGCCGCCTTTATACACGACGGATTGAATATTTTACGTCTTCTGATTGGTTAACCTTCTATTGGTGGACTATAAAGTGAGTCAAGTCATTTGGGCTAGCTCACTAGTAAACATAATACCCAAAAAACTGCAACAGATTCGACTTCGTAGAAATATCATGGCTATTGCTGGATGTAAAGATCTGAATTGGTAGCACTAAAGAGCGGAGCTCAGCTGAACATTTGCCATGAAATAGTAATAAAGTATCTATACGCTTCCAAGGTTAATTTGAGTGAGGAGGTGGCTGGAGACTTGAAAATAAATTATGCTATATTTAACCGAGTCATGACCACCGTCCCATTTGAACAGGTTAAGATTGTAGTGATCGGGGAAACATCCTCTTGGGAGTCTGTTCCACTGATCAGTGATCCGCGGGCAGAAACTGATCGATTGGAACTTACTACTCACCGATGGAATACGGAAGGAACGTAGGTAGTTTACTAGAATATTAGTGGCATAACAGATCCTAGCCGTGATGATTAGACCTGGCGGTGCCAAGGAATGTACTTCGTCCAAGCACTTTTCCTGGAAGTGGCAGTAGAGCAGTAAGAGGCTCACTATATCCCGCCTGTGTGAGAGAGAGGCTGGAGGGCGGAAAATAATTCGTCACCCACATGAACTCGGAGACTCTTTTGAACTCTATCAAGACGGGAAATTGAGGACCGGTAAGCTCCCGCCAAGACATGACAACAATCCTCCATTTTCGACATGATCTGGCTCTTATAAAGGTAGAGGATAGCATGGGAAGTCGGGTACTTACTGAAGCGGAACAGGGAGCCGATCATGTGAACTGCACCTTTAGCGATGGATCGTATATAAGAGTTCCACTTGAAATCGGGTGTGAGTTTGAGGCTCAATATTCACTCGAGTCACGGTACCACCTCTAGGGGACATCCGTTCGCCGACACTGGCGGTAGATTAGAGTATGATCGGTGTTGATAATTAGTTTTGTTTTCGAGGCACTGGATATAACCAACCATTTTCCCCTACTGGGAAGTTAGTGCTAGATTGGAAGAAAGGTCAAATCTGATCCCTAAGTGTTTTAAAGGTGCGCCCGTATATCGTCGTATCATCGACATAGATGTTTACAAATAACCTTAATATATTCATAGGCAGATCATTTATTTAAACCAGAAAGAGTGTTGGTCCGAAAAGTGACCGCCAGGGTCTCGGAGGACTGGTCGTTAATAACTATCTTCGGGGATCTACCTGTTAGAAAGGATGTTATAAATAAGAATAACCTTCCAATAATCCCTTAGCTGGTGAGCTTGTGTAGGAAACTTTTGGGACACACCTTGTCGAAGGCCTTCGAGATATCTAGTACTATGGTCCTCGAGAGGTCTGTGTTGTCAAGAGCCTCACTAAGTGTGTGTGTAATGGAATTTAGGGCGTCAGCAGTGGATTATGATGATCGAAACCCATACTACTCGTCGCATAGGAAGTTGTTCTAGGTGCTATAGAAGTGCTTTGTGTTGTGACTTGTTTAGGGGCCCAAAAGAAAGACACGGAAGACAAAGGTCGGTTGAAAAAGTATTTGAAGATATATACAAAACAATAGTGTTAGTATTAAGTAGATTTGCACTGCGTCTACTACTCCACTCCATTTCCCACTCTGCGCTCCCGTACGACTCTCACGGTTTGTATTTATGAGAGAAGGAAGAGTTCATTATACTGTAAGAGGGTTTAACGCAACACTTTGATTATTTATATTATTTATATCCGGTCTAATGTGAAATACGTAGAAAGTGTAATGAAGCAAAGGAAAGAAAAAATTATGAAAATATCAGTAAAAAGGGGCAACTTTCAAAGCAGCTGTATTTATTCAGAAGATGGCATCATTCTCACAGAACATTTTCGAAATTCCGGGAAGAACTCGAAAACCTACCCAGGGGCAGATTGCGACAGCGATCACAATGGAGATGCGATTACACAAATAAAAAGAAAAATAGAAGGATGAAAAGTTTTCAATATAAAGAATTGAAAAATTACAACATTCAGAGCAATTTTAAGGGGTGTGCTCTGAGAAAGATTAACACTAACACTCCAAAATGTGAACTCTGGAATGGAGTTAGAGAAGCTCTGCAGGATGAAGCAGCAAAACACATCTTGAAGAAGAAAGCAATGACCAGATAAATGATGGATGGATGAAGGAATACTGAGTTTGATGGAAGAGCGAAGGCTAGCGAAGAATCGACAGTCGAGAAATACGGATAAAATGTAATGAAGCAAAGAAAAGCTGGCTTTGAAAAAAAGAATGCTGGAAACTAGAAGAAAAATATCGCTCAAATTCAAACGAGAACTAAGACAAAATCAAGAAATTGCCAGTAAAGGAGGATAATATTCTAAACGGCTATGTTCATTAAGAAGAGTGCATCATGTCCACAGTGTCACGTGATATTAGCAGTAAATGGAAGTGTAATGTCAAAGAACTGTTCAACAACGCCAGAAGTGAACGGCACAATATCGGAGACGAGATTTGAGAGACGAGATTTGAAAGTCGTATCGAAGGGAAGCGAACGATAGGACGGCAACTTACATTATATTTGAACCGACTTTTTTTTAATCACTTCACCCCTAGCAAATCAATAAAGCCACTAAGACGCAAGAGGTTGCCGAGATGCAAAGAAGAAAATCCTTCTTAAGGATTGAGAACAATAAAAGTGCGGGAATTAAGAAGACAAAAGATAACGATTGAAATTCCATTTCAAATGTTGAGGATCAAAGCTGATTCGTAAAAAAAGAGCTAAGAAGAGAGTTCCACAAGCGAGAAGTGAAAGAGAAGAAACTGTTAGCATAGAACTTGCGGTTACGTCTAGTCACCTTTACTGTAAAATGACTAGACCTAGCTGCCAATCTAGTATTGCAAATAATTAAGAGACGAGGACCAAGTGTTGTGGATCCCGCGTAAAAAATAGGTATTCAATAAATGACAAACGCAAGTATTTAAGCTAAGAAATTAAATGTATTTACACAAAATACAAAAGGTAATGCTGATAGTAAAATCCAGGAACACGGTTAGTAGCAAATACAGATAGATATATACAGTCTCGAAATAGGACTTCCTTAGAGTCTACGTGCTTGTAACTGACTTCTACAAGAGGTTACTTCACTCTATCCGACTACC